AACTTACAAAATCAGCAGGGGATCAAATAAATATTTTCCTCACTGTAAAGTTTAAAGGTTAAAGAGATATTACATACAGGGCTGTCACTAGTGGGGAGAAAGATGGTGATGATTATAAGGGCCCATGGCTGTTGGGGGCCCCCGTCGATTGTAACGGGCTGTTCAGGGTCAGCGTGAAAGACGCTCTGGGGCAGTTGACGTTCTGCCCGATCAGTCACTGCTGCGTGTCATCACTAAGGTTTATCTTTTGCACATGTTTTTAAACCCTGCTAGTTTAAACCTTCAAGTGATTTTAAAGCATTCAAACTAGGGCTGCACGATAAATCGCATGCGATATTTAACGCGCATCTTGTCAGATCTGCATCTTTGCAACCATAAAATTTACAGACCCTTCATTTCTTTGTAAGTGGGCAAACTTACAAAATCAGCAGGGGATCAAATAAATATTTTCCTCACTGTAAAGTTTAAAGGTTAAAGAGATATTACATACAGGGCTGTCACTAGTGGGGAGAAAGATGGTGATGATTATAAGGGCCCATGGCTGTTGGGGGCCCCCGTCGATTGTAACGGGCTGTTCAGGGTCAGCGTGAAAGACGCTCTGGGGCAGTTGACGTTCTGCCCGATCAGTCACTGCTGCGTGTCATCACTAAGGTTTATCTTTTGCACATGTTTTTAAACCCTGCTAGTTTAAACCTTCAAGTGATTTTAAAGCATTCAAACTAGGGCTGCACGATAAATCGCATGCGATATTTAACGCGCATCTTGTCAGATTTGCATCTTTGCAAAATCACGTTCATATTCGCGCGATTTTTTGTGCAGCTCGTCAGTGAACAACGGCTCTGTGTAGTTAATGCTGCTCAATGTGAAAGCACGCACGTGATGGAGATTTACCGCTGATTACAGAACCGGCTTTCTGACGAGATGCGCGTTAAATATCGCATGCGATTTATCGTGCAGCCCTAATTCAAACTCAAGAAGCAGTGAAAGAACTCAATTCGGTGTTCGTGGTGAGATGCAAGCTTGAACTTGTTGCTTGTTTTTGAATGGTTTAAAATCGCTTGTTCAAATTGGCAAGGCGTATTTGTTCGTTCAAGAGCAAGAAGACACAAAATTTAACTCAATTCTGGGCTCGTGCATTGTCGGAGACACGACTCCAAAACTTTCATTTGAAATCTCTTTTGCGTCTTCTTGCGCTTGAACAGAAAAATACATACAAAATTATGCCAAAATACCTATCTTGTTGAGTATCCTCGAACGTAAACAGTTGAGAAAGATGTGTATCATTATATTGGATCCATGAATTGTGTCTTTAAGTGACCGTGCCTAATTTACTAGCTGCTGTCGTTGTCCTTAATGTTAATCCAAGGAAAAAAAGAGAGAAAATCACTCACTGCTTTTTTGTAGCTTTAACAAATACTATGCAATTTTACTTTTGTTTATTCAATTTCTGTACCAGAACACTGACCACCTTGAAAAAAATTTACATTGTTTAATTTATATCTTTATTCTATTTATTTCATTTTGCTAACTTATTTACACAATTTCAAATAGGTGCCCACGGGTACAGCCTGCACCGGGGCCCCGCATACTCCAGCTACGACCCTGATTACATATTTTAGTTCTGCAGGGGTCCTCTCTTTTATTTATTTATTTTATTATTTATTTTTTTGTTGGATGCACCATGACTTTATCAGATAACTTGAACGCAAAATGATTGACAGGAAGAGAGTGAAGAGGCTGCTCTCTGATATTGTCAAGGGTGATTTATTAGGACTATTTCAATGATATCACTTAATGAAGACAGTTTGTGTATTGTTTAAAAAAAAAAAGGAATAAATAAAAAAAAAACTCTGACAGCACCCATTACGAAGTAAGTACTAAATACTTATTAAAATAGTGTTTCTAATGCATAAAAGCTTTAATTTCTTAACCTTTCAAAGTATGCTATAGCTATCTATATGCATGTAGATGGCTTCCAAGCTAACAGACAAAGGTTAAATGCCACTAAACTCCTATTTTGATTTCTTTAAAACATCCATATATGAAGGCTAGCCTTACTGTTTTTTAACGCATTTACTGTAATGTGTTTTTCTTACAGACGGTTTTGTGTATCATTTCCTGGTGGCAGACATATGATGTGGTAAAGGACTTCTTGAGGCCACATGTGTACGCTTTGTACTGTGAGCGGCATACTTTCCATTTGTGTGGAAGAGATCTAGACAAACTACTACGATTTTGTCACATTTCGATGAGGCCTAATTTGACCTCTTGTACCATCATCAAAAGAATCGGTGGCAAATTGCGCTGACAGTCCCTGCTGGAAACTTTGAGGCTGCACTGCCTCCCCGAGCTGTGTTTCTTCGTATTAAAGGAGCACATAATTCTTAGAGAGTGTCTTTGATTTTTCAGGTTTTGACATGTGAGAATATATAGATGAGGTTATTGCTCATTTAGGGAGACTGAGAGGTCAAATTAGCAGAAAAGTGAATACTGAAAATTCTTCGAATCTTTCTCATTCTGACTGGCTCAGGTTGAAAATGGCAGATCATTCAAAGAGAGTGAGAATGTTCAACTTTTTTTTTTTGAGTGTTTTTACCTTTTTACTTAGAAAAGCTGTTATTGTTCCCATGGTTCCATTTTCTGTAATCTTGTAAAACTATTATTTACACAACTCTTTTTATACCTCTGGCTCCATCTTAAGTCAGTGAGTATTCTTGGATTTATTGAAAACTGGATAAAGCCGCTCATAAAACTAAAGCTGTTGTTGTCATCCCAGCTGGCAGCATGATTGGAAGATGATTAGTATCTAATTGAGTGTGGCAGATATATATGAATAAAGTAGAAAGTGCACTGTACATGTTGTATTTTATTACTTTCTCTGTGTGTAAAGGAATTATCAAAATGGATTCCTCTGTACAAAGCATTTTTAATGTATGGTTAGATTCACCATAATTCTGAGATAAAAGGTAAGTTACCTTAGGTTTTTGTTTTGTTTTGTTTTATTTTATTATTTTGTTTTGTTTTGTTTTGTTTTGTTTTGTTTTATTTATTTTATTTTATTTTATTTTATTTTATTTTATTTTATTTTGTTTTGTTTTGTTTTGTTTTGTTTTGTTTTGTTTTGTTTTGTTTTTGATCTTATTTTTAAAAAAATATTTAAAGGGTCTTTCTCAGGTAATGTTTCCATTTGTGCCTGAACTTTTACTTTAAAATGTATTCTAAAGTTACAGTTGCAATGTGCGAGGTGTATTTAAAAGAACTTTGAATTTAATTGTTTTGAAATCAATGTGAAAATGCTTGATTAGAAATGGCAGAAATTATTATTAGTTAAAAGCTATGATTTTGTTATGACTAAAAAATGTCTACTTTCTCTCACAACTAAACGTATTGCTCATTAGCCATATTCTCCTAATATATTGTACAGATGTTTTGTATCTTAACTACATTTAGAAGAATACGCTTAAAAATAAACATCCGGAAGCGTAGGATCATCTGCATTGCATATCTTCCATGACTTCTCGTCCTGATGATGTAGATTAAATATACCTGTTTTAAATATTTCACACATACACTTATATACCCACACATACTCTTGGTTGATTTGCTGCTAATAGCAGCGAGATCTTTTATGGTGCTTTGCTCAATCGCAGGAAGTCATTGTTGACCTAGTTTAGCGACATTGGTAAGACAGCTCTGCAGGCATCGGCCTTATAACCCATTGTGCATCACTAATTATGTGCTTGTGTTATCAATAGGCCTACTATATTAATATATATATATATATATAAAAACTTTACATTTCGAAAGAAAAAAAATAGCATAGCATTTAATTTGAATTTAATAAACAAACTGCACCACTGCAAGACAATAATACAATTAAAAACAAAAAAACTAAATATCTCAAGCCCTTACAGAGCAAGAAAGTTTTTTTTTTGTTTTTTTTTTTTTGTCACAAACAAGCTAGTGAAGCACAAAGATTCATACAGCAAACACATGTACAGATACAGTACAGTAAACAGATACAGTAAAAAGCTGTGATTTTGAGATCTCAGCTGATCTGGGCTCTATGCACATATCAGATGTAGTGCACTGGTTTTTGTGTTCATAGACATTACTGAGAAAATAGCTGACCTGATCTAGTCCGGATCACGAAAACATGAAGAAGAGGAAAAAAAATGATAGACTCCAATGTTACTCACACAACCACACATATACTGCGTCAATGAGGGAGTATCAATACATTGTCCTACCACACTTTTACACCTCTGAATAATTACAACATACACTTTTTGGGTATAATATGTCACAGTTCATATACATCCCAGCAGTTCATATACATATCTATCAAAGTTATCTGACATTATCAAGATTACTTTTTTCTGACACAGTTTAACTCCTTTTTTTTTTTTTACCATTTTCAAAACTATAGTGAATAAACTATGATATAATGTGAGAAATGTTGAAGGTGTCTGAATAAATTTTTTAATTTTGGTTTGACTGTGTCAAATATATATATATACAAATCTTATTTGTGTAAAGTTTAATTTTAGAACTTAATTGCAATGGCGGCTTATAAAAGAAAAAAAAAAAAGTTAGCAGAATAATTAATGTACGTGATATTACAAAATTTTAAGCATTACATTTCTGCTTCTAAATCCTTAGATTGGCCCCAAGATTGTTCCAAACCTGTGTGAATTGTTTTCTTCTGTTGAAAACAAACAAACAAAAACAAACAAAATATATTTTTGAAGAATTTGTGTAACCAACAGAAGAAAGAAACTCATACAGGTTTGGAACAACAAGAGGGTGAGAAATGATGACATAATATTATTTTTGGGTGAACGATCCCTATAATATTTGTTTTGAATTATAACTATATATGGATATAACCATAAATGTCATATCATTTTTTGGAGCTGACAGACATGGTTACTTCTGGAAATGGGCTGCGTGAATATTCATAAAAAATTCTCTTTTTGTGTTCCACAGAAAAAAAAAGAAAAAGAACAACATGCGAGTTTGGAGCGACATGAGAGTGAGTAAATCTCTTTCATTTAGTGATATCCAAATGTGTGCTGCCATTTGGTGAGTGAGGTGGTCACCCTACCCCACCCTGACCCTCTCCTCTCCTCTCTGAAGGCCTGTCAGTCAGAGGAGGATCTCAGGTGCACGCCGGTGTCGCCGTATCCCACAGGTGAGATGAGTATCACCGCTTTCTCCACTCAGGCATTGCGACTGACCCCAGCGCTCAGTGATACCCCAACACACACACACACACACACGCACACACACACACACATATATATATATACACACACACACACACACACACACACACACACATGTTGTGTTCCATGTTTTATGGGGACATTCCATAGGTGTAATGGTTTTTATACTGTACAAACTGTATGTGCTATTGCCCTACACCAACCCTACCCCTAAACCTACCCCTTACAGGAAACTTTGTGCATTTTTACTTTCTCAAAAAAACTCATTCTGTATGATTTATAAGCTTGTTTCCTCATGGGGACCTCAAAAATGTCCCCACAAGGTCAAAATGTACTAGTATTACTATCCTTGTGGGGACATTTGGTCCCCATAACGTGATAAATACCAGGTACACACACACACACACACATACACACATATAGACACGCAGAGTTGCTATCAGGGTATGTGTAAAGATGCCTCACCCCCTCCCTGCCCCACCAGGCTGCTCTCCTCGCTGCTCTTTGTCCCCGTAAATGAGCGAGAGAAACTCGAGAAACTTCCATCCGTCCTCTCTGCTCTTTCTTTTCTCTCCATGGCAGAATCTGTCCCTCTATCAGGATCTGTTTTCTATTGACCTTTTAATTCACTTTTATTCTCCTGCCCTGTTATTTAAAGCCTTTCAGCTTCAGGATTAGAAGGTTTCAGCATGTCTTCCTCAGTTTCTAATCTGACATTTAGTCAAGACTGTGTGGAGTTTATAGGATATATATTTATACATATACATTGCATATAAATGCATTATAGAAAAGTACTGTAGTTTTTCATTAAGGATGTTTGATCAATGTTATCAAATGGAAATGTTGTGTAGAATTAATTTAAATATGCTTTGAAAAAGTATTTTATATATATTTTTTAATATTAACAGAGCCTTGATATTAGGTTAAAATACATTTCAGATATTTTAGTTTTTTTTTTTTTTTCCAAGTCATTCATTATATTTTACCAATTCCTTTGCAATATAGTGATAAATAGTGATTCACTTTTTATTTTTCTTCATTAAGGTTGTTTGATCAATGCTATCAAGTGGAAATGTTGTGTTTAATTGGCTCTAACAACATTTGATTTAACATACACTTTTAAAAATTATTTTACATATATATTTTTAATAATAACAGAGCCTTGATATTAGGTTAAAATACATTTAAGATATTTTAGGATGATCCAGTCATTCATTCATTCATTTATTTAGAATTATATTTTATTAGTTCCTTTGCAATGCTCATGATGAATGATAAGCTTTTTTAACATGAGGTCATAAAATCTGCTAGACTATAAAATATTATTATCAAAATGCTGTTTAAACTACTTTTAGATAGAGTTGATCAGGTCATAAGTATTGTATGTTAGGTACCCACTTTTATTTTATATACTGCACTTCTGGTTTAAGAAATTTGCCATTCTGAATTCATTTTAGTCTATTTTCCCAAATTGTGGATTATCTTTTTAACCGAGGCAGGCTTCATTTCTATTACAAGTTTCGAAATAACTGCTCCAGTTATCTGACAGGATCTCAGCCACTGTTTATATCTATCAAGTGTGGAAGCCCACTCTAACCAGACTCGTTATATCATGAAAGTCTCAAATATAGATAAACTTTACACCTAATTTAAATATTTCGCAGAACACTGAGAAACTTCTGCCAAATGTTAGTCCTGTTATTGTTAACTCTGATAAAACTATTGATTTTTAATTCTATATATTAATTAATTAAATTTAAGCTTAAAAAAGCGGCATTATATTAAAAAAAAACAAAAAACATGTTAAACGCTTAAAGATCAAAGAATGAAGTTCTTAACCTCAAAGGCCCTGTTGAGGCATTTCACTTTGCAGTAAGTCATCAAAGTCAGAAGGTTTCGGAATTTGACTCTATTTAATATTTCTAAATAAGCTTGAAATATATGTTCACAGCCTTCCTGTTGCAGCGATTCGATGGCTGCAGATTGTTTTATACACCCTAATGCACACACACGCAGACATGTACGCACTCAAGAGTTGGTTTCAATAGATGGAAAATAGAGTGATAATGATCAGACGAGCTTTTGGGGTAGCGATTTGAGATATGACATGTGGTCAGGCATTTCGCAGGGCACTTCTGCTCACATGCAGCAAAACAATGACACGAACGTCACCAGTTAACCTGATGCTCGAAACAAGCTTATTAAATGGCTAATAAAATCTATTTAATTTGTAAAAGTGCATGCGAGAACCGCTAAGAATCCAGGGCAGTAAATGAAAGGTTAATTATTAGATCTGACTCAGCTCTGTAACTAAAAAAAAAAAAATCATACTGTTGTTGTAGGTTGACAAGCCAATGTTTCATCATCGTAGGCCGTACCCACACAGAACATTTTACCCAATACGCAGCAACAATTTTTTGCGTTGTAACCTGTTTAATGTGACACGCAATACAATCCAACAAATCCGGTAAATGTTTGCTTTACTATTCCGAAAACATCCCACGTATGCAAGCGTTGTGCTCATGTTTTTGATAGGTGGTTCTGTGTCTAGCCTGACCCTGTTTAATTAATGGCTAAGAATCCCTGTCGTTTTAGCCGTAGCTCGTTAAAAGAGCATTCACCTCTCTGAAAGACAAGTCTGATTAATCCCAACTAATCCGTAGGATGACAATATCACCCCCACCCCATTTTCTCTCTCTTTCTCTCTAACTCGCTTTCCTTCCATTTGTCATTAGTGACAAATATAATGATTGCTTTTATTATAGCGATTTTAATCCTAGTCCGAACAAAATCCACTCAAAAACAATCTACAGTATATTATGTGTGTGTGTATGCACATAATACAATGTAGATTGTTTTTCAGAATAAAGTTTTTAACTTCAAAGGCCCTGATGAGACAATTCACTTTGAAGTAAGTAATCAAAGTGAGAAGGTTTTTGAAATGTGACTGTGTTTAATTTCTAAATACACTTTTCATTTACTTTAAAATAAAAATTTTCACAGACTTCCTGTTGCAGCAATTATCATACCCAGTTTAATTTCACATACTGCAGTTTTTGTTGACTATATATATAATACAAATAATATATCGCTATATGTGAAATATACAAATCTATAGTAATATAGTAATGTCACTAATATGTGTAATATATTGCTATTTGTTTTAGCAATATATTGCACATATTAGTGACATTACTATATATTACTATAGATTATTATATCTGTCACATTTGTAATATATTACTATTTTTTATAATATTTGTAACATACACTATACTAATAATGATTGATTTTAGTAAAGGGATTTAATTAGAGCAATTTTAATCACAGTCCCAACAAAATCAATATACAGTATATGTATGTTCATATACACTACTGCATCACTACTACATTCTGATTTTTTCGTCTTAAATAGTACCTAAATGTAATGTGACAAATATGATAGTTTTATTAGTGATTTTAGTCCTAGTCCAAATCCACAGTGTATATATAGTATATATATATGAACAGGTCAGATGCAAAAGCCTCTAAGTGCCGTCTGAAATTTTCATCTAAAATGAAGTAATTTTACACTAATGGCAATGTATAGGTCATTTTATATGCAATTAAAGTACACTAACTGAACATAAATATAGGAGCCTGATAAAAATGCTAATTTTAGAAGTAAATTTCAGACGGCACTTAGAGGTTTTGCATCTGAACTCTTCATATATATATATATATATATATATATATGAAGAGTTCAGTGTGTTATTAGATACATACGTGCTTGAGTTTCCCATTAGTATATTGTGATGTTTTTATTAAATAGTAACTTTGTAAATGTAAGTGCAAATTTGTAACTAATGTTTAAGTGAAAATGCACTTGTAATCTAAATTCTAATTGGACAAACAAACTATAAATGCAATGCTGACACTTAATCAAATGTATTCTTTGAAGATTCGCTCGAGAGGGCGGGTAGTTGAAGTGTGCCACAATGGAAAATGCACTACCCGTGTCTTCAAACAGACTTTAGTGCGCTGGCAGATTGAACTGATGTGCAGTTTCCTTTTAAACTTTCTTTTACAAAGTATGCGACAAAAAGTAAAGCATATATTGTGGTTGTTTGGTCTGAGTTCACAGGAGAAAAGAAAATGCTTTACTTACCTTACGACAAATCTTTTTTTGGACATGAGAGGTTTGTTATCTACAAATACATTTAGTTTCCTGTGCACCTAAATAGAACGGCTGGCAGGGTGTGATTTTTGTTGATTCTGCTTGTTTTTTTTTGTCTTTTGATGATACATTTAGATTTTAAGAAGTTTGTACTTTTAAGAACTTTTTAGGTTCCTAAGATATTTGCTGGTTGTTCAATCAGTATATTCATACTCAGTATGACCCTCGAAGTGATATGCTTGTGAATGTCTAATGAAACGAAAAAAAAGAAGAAAGGTATGGGTGTATTTCTGAGTATGCATGAGATGTATTGTACCATTAGAAATGTTTCCTGTTTCACAAAACCTGAGATTCCTTGCCCTTTCAATTAAAGAGCTGACAAATACGTACTTTTTGCACTTATTCAACCACACATTTTCTCTCAGAGCTTCGACTGAACTCTTTATATGAGTTGTATGCCAAATAGTGTTTTTCTGTCTATTTCAGTTCTTCATTTTTATTATTTTATTAATATTGTTTTATTTATTAAGACATCAGTTATTAAAGAATAAGTTGCCGAACAACCCTAATCAATCAATTCTAATGCAACCACAATAAATTTTTCATTAGACCAGGCCTTATGTCACAGTTTTTGAAACTGATACCAGATTCAGTTGTTCTGAAATTCACAGGAAGATACAGTAAATATCGGTTATGAAATGTTGAGAATCTACAATGAGTTCTTAGAATAGGTGTACTATTGCAAGTGCACAGCGCTTGCTCTCGAAACTGCAAAAGTTAGGTTCTTTACAGGCGCAAAGAAATGTATTTTTTTAATAATTTCTTTATTTCAGAAGAAGCTGATTGTGTGTAACAAATTAAATAAAGGATCCTGAATAATAATGCAGCTCATTTTGTAGTTTAATTTTATTAAAGAGGGTTTGCACACGTGGTGGTGTAGATGTCCTGCTTGGCTTGCTATAATATTGAAAGCAGACATGCTGTGTGTGGGGGATCTTATCTGTGGACCGTAAACATATTTTGGGGGTTTGTGGCAAATAGACTGATAGGCAAAATTCCAGCTTGTGTGAAAGCTTGTGTATGCTTGTGCGTGAATGCGTACAGTCATCTATTCTCTCAGCAAACACCTTTTTTTTTCTAATTAACTAGTCCCTCACAATTTATTTATTTGTTTATTTGTTTGTTTGTTTGCAAATGCATACAGCACATAAAAATAAAAAAATAAAAATAATAAATATAAATAAATAAATAAATACTTGAAATCTTAAAATAATTTGGACATTTATTATGGAGAAAGAAAAAAAAAATCACTTCATTTTTTCCCCTCCTATTCTCTAGCTTGCTTTCTTATTTAGTTGTCTAATAAACCTGGCATTGTATATTATAAATATTGTTGCTTTGGATAAAAGAGTCTGCTTAACACATACATGTAAGTGTAAATTATGAGTACTGGAAAATATATGATTAATGATTTATTCTGAAATATTATATAAATATTATATTGAAATTCACTAACATAATTAAACGGAAAAAGACAAGGAAAAAAAAAAAAAAAGGTTGCCAGTCAATAAAGTGTCAAAGTATTGCTCTGCTTCTGTGAGAAACAGATCAGCTTTCGTGACTTTGGTCATCACCACAAAGTTGCACACATAGAAAAACATCGGGCCGCAGCGAAACACACTCACACACATACATTCATAGCTAGTGTCCTGTCTCAACCACATCAAGGGTCCACCTCACTGGCTGACCTTAAAGGACAATGTCTGCAACTGTCTAAAAATTTGTCCACCTTGAGATAAACACTCTCTCTTTCCTCTGTCTCTCTCTGTCTATCTTCAATATCTGATTATCTTTGTTCTTTTATTAGCCAGGCGAGTGAGAATGGTTCGAGCTACTTGTCGCCATGGGCGCTCAGATTGCATCTTTGCTCTGTGGCTTTAATAACGACAAGAGAATTCATGTTATTTTCCACTCAGATATGGCCCCACACGTGTTCTCGTGTCCTCTTCATATGTGGTCTTCCCGGGCAGTCCATGACTTTAGATGTCATTAAAAAAAAATTAAAATCCCAAGGCATCTAGAGAGATGGACACCTTGAAACATACAGAAACATCAGATAATTACCAGATCTTGTCTACACCACCAGAAGTACCAGTGGGCAATCTGGATGTTATTAAATAAATAAATAAAATAAATAAATAAATAAATAAAAACATAAGAAGTTAAGTTTAGTTAATTTTCATATAATTTGTATAAGGTCAGCTTGTAGTTTATTGCTTTTCAGATTTTTTTAATTGTATTTTTTAAAATAGATTAATTAATTTTAACTTCAAAAAATTAATGGGTAGATATTAATGGCTGTATTAATGTTCAGTAGGGGGAAGCAACATATACACTTGATTTTGCATCTGGATTTTATTTAAAAATAAATAAACGCATGTAGAGATCTAGAATTCTCATGTATCTATTAGTTTACATAACTTTATTATATTATTTTACAACTTTTCTAAGGCCAGCTTGAATTTTATTGCTTTGTAGTTTTTTAATTTTTTGAATAGATGAATTGATTCCAACTTCAGTAGATGAAATCAACATGAATACAAGATTACTCAAATGCTGTGCAAATCTTTGAGACAGACTTAACTGATAATTGACAGTTTGTTGATTTTTGTCTGTTTTATATCAATATTTAGAGTATTAAAAAAATATATACAGTGCTGTGAAAAAGATTTTACCCCCTTACTGTTTTTTTTATGTTTTGCATATTTGTTACACTTGAATGATTTAGATCAAGCAAATTTTAATATTACACAAAGATAACCTGAGTAAATACAAAATGCAGTTTTGAAATAATGATTTCATTTATTAAGGGAAAAATCTGTCCAAACCTGCCTGGCCCTCCGTGAAAAAGTAATTGCCCCCTAAATCTAATAACTGGTTGTGCCACCCTTTGCAGCAACAACTGCAATCAAGCGTTTGCGATAACTGGCATTGAGTCTTTCACATCGCTGTGGAGGAATTTTGGCCCACTCTTCTTTGCAGAATTGTTTTAATTCAGCCACATTGGAGGGTTTTCGAGCTTGAATGGACTGTTTAAAGTCATGCCACAGCATCTCAATCAGATTTAAGTCCGGACTTTGATTTGGCCACTCCAAAACCTTAATTTTGTTTTTCTTGAGTCATTCAGAGATGGACTTGCTGGTGTGTTTGCGATCATGTCCTGCTGCATAACCCAAGTGTGCTTGAGGTCACAAACTGACAGCCGGACATTCTCCTTCAGGATTTTCTGATAGAGTGCAGAATTCATGGTTCCGTCAATTATGGCAAGTTGTCCAGGTCCTGAAGCTGCAAAGCAGCCCCAGACCATCACACTATCACCACCATGTTTGACTGTTGGTATGATGTTCTTTTTATGAAATGCTGTGTTGGTTTTACACCAAATGTAACAGGACACAAACCTTCCAAAAAGTTCAACTTTTGTCTCATCAGTCCACAGAATATTTGCCCAAAACTCTTGGGGATAATCAAGATATTTTTTGGCAAATGTGAGACGAGCCTTTGTGTTCTTTTTGGTCAGCAGTGGCTTTTGCCTTGGAACTCTCCTGTGGATGCCATTTTGCCCAGTCTCTTTCTTATTGTTGAATCATGAACACTGACCTTAATTGAGGCAAGTGAGGCCTGCAGTTCTTTAGATGTTGTTCTGGGTTCTTTTATGACCTCCTGGATGAGTTGTCGTTGCACTTTTGTAGTAATTTTGGTAGGCCGGTCACTCCTGGGAAGGTTCACCACTGTTCCAAGTTTTCTCCGTTTGTGGATAATGGCTCTGACCATGGTTCGCTGGAGTCCCAAAGCCTTAGAAATGGTTTTATAACCCTTTCCAGACTGATACATGTCAACTATTTTGTTTCTCATCTGTTCTTGAATTTCTTAAGATGCGGCATGGTGTGTTGCTCTTTAAGCATGCTTCACTTTGTCATACAGGTTCTATTTAAATGATTTCTTGATTCAACAGGTCTGGCAGTAATCAGGCCTGGGTGTGGCTAGTGAAATTTAACTCAGCTTTCTAAAATAATGTAGTTAATCACAGTTTTTTCATGATTTAACAGGAGGGGGCAATTAAATGTTCACGTAGGGCCAGGTAGGTTTGAACAGCTTTTTTCGCTTACTAAATGAAATCATCATTTGATGATCTGACAGTTGTCCAGAAGACAATCATTGACACCCTTCACAAGGAGGGTAAGCCACAAACATTCATTGCCAAAGAAGCTGGCTGTTCACAGAGTGCTGTATCCAAGCATACACATATTTATGCATACACTCATACACAAAAATATACATTCATTAGTGCCATCTAGTGCTCAGTGACACCTTAATATTCAATCCTACACTTAAAGCTTCTAGTTAGAACCAAGAAAAAAATATTTGATAATGATATTGGAGAGCCGTTTTTAGTTTTACAAGCATTCGTTAGTTCCTGATAGCGTGTTGTGGATGTTATGACGGGGCCGCAAAATCAAAATCAGGATAGATTTGGGATCATTCAAAGCTTGATTCATAAATTTCAGTTTGTGAAAGAGGAACATTGTGTAGGTGCATTGTGAAAATCATACCATTCACACTTTTTGGGTGAAACAACTTGTGTTTGTGCATGTGGTCACTTGTGATGCAGTGTTGGCATTTAGTTAGAATAAAAATGAATCATGTCGTTCAATACCAAGAAGGCAGTGAAATGAAATATTGAAAAACATTCTTGGAGCTCAGTTAAGTCAACGTGTTTTTCTGTAACGTGGGGGAGGAAAAGTCAAAGTGAAACAAACAGTACAATCAGCGAGTCATTCTGATCTACCGCTTCATTTTCTCTGAATTTGTGTGTGTGTGGTAGTCAGGAAATATAAAAGCTCTAGTAAAGAGTGTA